ACGATTCTTCCATACAATCTTTCATCCCCCCTTTCAACCCCTTACAACCCTATTTTCGCATTAAAAAGTAACCTATGTCCTTTCTCAGGGTCTAGACTCTCTGTGTACCAAATTTCATTTAAATCGGTTCAGTAGTTTTGGTGTGAAAGCGAGACAGACAGCCAGACAGAGTTACTTTCGCATTTATAATATTAACGTGTGTAAAAAATTAGGTAAAAAAAAAACGTCTTCATCATAGTAGCTGCAATCTTTAATTTCAGTTCAATCTGTCGAAAATCTAAAATGACGACCTCGGTGGTATAGCGGTCCAGCACACCGCTTTACGTCCAATGGTCGCGGGTTCGATTCCTCGCACGGCACAAACATTTGTATTCACGAGTATGATTGTTTGTATCAATCTGAGTATTTTCTATGTATAATATATATATATGAAAAAATGTATCTATTTATTTGTATCAGTTATCTAGTACCCATAACACAAGCTTTAGCTAGCTTAACTTGGGTCTAGATGGCGCTGTGTGAATTGTCCTGAGATTATTATTATTATTATTTATTTATAACAAACTATATATACATATAAATAAAATTGGAGTGTCTGTTTGTAATATTTAAATAACCGTTTTTTACTACATGCATATGAATATAAATACAGTACATACACCAAAAAACCATTTGTTACAATTTTTGTCTGTCTGTCTGTTTGTTCCGGCTAATCTCTGAAATGGCTGGACCGATTTTCACGGGACTTGTTTTGATTATGATGTAATAAGGAGTAACTTAGGCTACTTTTAGAAAAATAAAGTTAAATTCCACGCGGACGAAGACGAAACTACTACTATATTATGTACTACTACTACTAGTACATAATATAGTAGTTTAGTACATAGTACATATAGTAGTTTCGTAAGTCGTATTAATAGCCTACAAGGTGCCTCATACACGTTTGTTTATTTACATTAACTCTCTTAAAACTCAACTTAATATTTTGTCGTATCTGATTATCATTATCATTACATTGTATATGTAGCGGATTTTTGATACTATGTTGTTGGTCGAGACGATATATATTACAGATGATAATAAACTGACAATATGTACATAGAAATATTGATCTTATATACTAAATAACAATAGGAAAATGTAAGGTGGGGTGACACAGTTTAGACACAGCAGTGCTTAGTACACAATATTGTCTTACTAGACATTATTAAATGCAATTATTATTTTTATTTATCTAGGTAACTGTGTCCCATAAGGCCTTCAATAGAAGTTGAAATAATCTTTATTCAAATAAACTCACTACAAGAACTTTTGAATAGTCATATTTTGATTCTACCATTCATTCGGAACGCAGATTCATCACAAGAAGAATGAGCAAGAATTTTGTGTTACTCTTTTTAATAAATATTTTTTTTAATTTATTAAATGCAATTATTATTTTAATGTATCTAGGTTACTGTGTCCCATAGATATTCCCCCTTGAAAAAAATATATATTACGCACAAAACAAAATTATAAAAGTAAACTGTAAAATTTACGACATTATGCACTTTAGTAACAATAAAAATTCATTATACCCAAATAACGACGTATATCTTCGACTGTCAGGGTACTCGTCGATTGGCTCGGCTCAACCGTCATACTCGTGAACGAGTGCTGCTTGTAGGGACTGGTCTGCTCTTATCACTACGACTGATTTAATCTTATTGTATATTTATATTTGACCCAAAAAGATAGTGCTGGTTGGTAGTTTGTATTCACACGTTTCGACTTGTAAATGTAAACCTACAAGGATTATTTAAAAGAGCAACACACAAGTTTCTTGCTCGTTCTTCTTGTGATAAGACAGCTTTCCGAACGAGTGGTAGATAAAAAATAAATTGTTATGACTGTTCAAAAGGGTTTGAAGTTTATTTGAATAAATGATTTTCTATTCTATTCTATTCTATTCTAAAGTCGTATATGTCAGGCGGGAGTTGCCTTCAGCCGCTCCATAAGTCCTCTAGTTTGGAGTGCCATCTGCACTTGTCTTCTATCGTCCGGTGAAGCTGTAAAGGCCAGCTGCAGTCAACAGCAATAGAGTAGTCCGAAAAATAAACAAAGTTTTAGTTTTGTAAAATGCAGGTGTTCTGCGAGTTATATTACAACTTCTTAAAGCCTGATAAATTTAAATAGCAAAAATGTTAATTATAAAAAAGTATCATATCTAGTTCAAGTAGGCGTTACTATAATTAGTGTTATGTACTTTTTTTTTTTCTCATGCCTGACCTTAGTCCCATTTATTTGGGGACGCCCTGACCCTGACACCAGGATGATGATTGACTATGGTTAATCTTCTCCAGCGGGAGAAAAGGAGATTGTTAGCAATGTGGACTGTTGACTCCATTACTAGTACCTATACTAGCTACTCGCCCCGGCATCGCCCGCATGTATTATACATATAAACCTTCCTCTTGAATCACTCTATCTATTAATTAAAACCGCTTCAAAATCCGTTGCGTAGTTTTAAAGATTTAAGCATACAGACGGACAGACAGCGACAGCGACTTTGTTTTATACTATGTAATGATGATATTGTGGCGGGAACTATATATAATGTGGACTCCAGTGCTAGCAACGTACCGTGTCAGGTTGACCTCCACACGGTTACCTCTGGAAACCAGGGGGAAGTTGATTGTTAATAATGACTGGACTGTTGACTCCATTGTTAGCGATGTACCATGTCAGGTTGACTTCCACGCGGTTTGTCCTGGAAACCATCGTGATAAATTCCTGGTGAATTTGTCACGATGGGCTAACTGACCTGATCTCATGTTCATCTTATCATCCTCCACTGGTGCCCCGCCAGCGTAAACCGTTAGCGCAGGCGGGTGCACCATTCAATTATCATCTATAAAAAAATGTTCTCCGGTACGGTCTGTCCTGGTTTATCTAGGGTATTAATTCGGCAGTTTCAATAGATAGAGTGATTCAAGAGGAATGTTTATACATATATATAATATATGCATGTATATATACTCTCCTGCGAAGCCGGGGCGGGTAGCTAGTAGCAATACAATATGTGAAAGAAAATATTTAGGGTGGGCCACCCTTATCAGTTAAGGGTATAAAGAATAGATAACAACCTACATACACTAGACATATCGAATACATAAAACTTCATAAAAATCGGTCAAGCCGTTTTGTAGGAGTATGGCAAACTAACACTGTTACACGAGAATTTTATCTATACATATAAATAAAACTGAAGTGTCTGATTGTAATATTGAAATAACCGTTTTTACTACATGCATATGAATATAAATAGGGTACATACAGCAAAATAACATTTTTTATAATTTTTGTCTGTCTTTCTGTCGGTCTGTTTGTTCCGGCTAATCTCAGAAATGGCTGGACCGACTTTGACGGGACTTTTTTTGGTAGGTAGCTGATGCAATAAGGAGTAACTTAGTTTACCATTATTTTAGAAAAGTTCTTTCATTTATAGAAAAATTAAATTAAATTCGGACGAAGTCTCGGGTACAGCTAGTATATTATATAATTACTTGACATAAACTAATGTGAACAGAAAATACATAATGTGTATTTTTTTGTTTCCATTATTTATATTTAAAAAAAAAGTCTAACTTAACTATATACTTATACTAGCTACCCGCCCTGGCATCGCCCGGATGCACATGTATTATACATATAAATCTTCCTCTTGAATCACTCTATTTAAAAAAATCGCTTCAAAATCCGTTGCGCAGTTTTCAAGCATACATAGGGACGGAGACAGCGACAGCGACTTTGTTTTATAGTATGTAATGATGATATTGTGGCGGGAACTATATATAATGTGGACTCCAGTGCTAGCAACGTACCGTGTCAGGTTGACCTCCACGCGGTAACCTCTGGAAACCAGGGGGAAGCGGATTGTTAATAATGACTGGACTGTTGACTCCATTGTTAGCGATATACCATGTCAGGTTGACTTCCACGCGGATCCCCCTGGAAATCATCGTGATAAATTCTTGGTGAATTTGTTTGATTGTTGTTACGATGGGCTACTTAACCTGACCATCATGGCCATCTTAACATCCTCCACTGGTGCCCCGCCAGTGTTGTTGTTTTTGCTACTTTACATGTAATTTATTCATATTTTATAACAGTTTAAACCTTCCCTGGATATCCACGAACATTTTAAGACTAAAATTAGCCAAATCGATTCAGCTATTCTCGAGTTTCTCGAGACTAACGAACAGCAATTCATTTTTATATATATACCTACTAGCTGTCCCGGCAAACGTTGTTTTGCATTAAAATAAAAAAAAAAAAAAATTTGTGGTGGACTACCCCTAACATTTAGGGGGATGAAAAATAGATGTTGGCCGATTCTCAGACCTACTCAATACGCTCACAAAATTTCATGAGAATCGGTCAAGCCGTTTCGGAGGAGTATGGGAACGAAAACTGTGACACGAGAATTTTATATATAAAATAATATATATATACCAAATTCAAATGACAAACAAGTTGACGGTAAGGGGTCACCCCTTACCGTCGTCGTCGTCTTTATATATGAACATACTGTTAAGTAACACGCAAGTTTCTTGCTCGTTCTTCTTGTGATGAGTCTGCATTCCTAATGAGTGATTGAATCAAAAAAATGTGACTATTCAAAAGTTATTGTACTAAGTTTATTTGAAGAAATATTATTTGTATTTCTGTTTCTGTCTCTGTTTCTGTTTCTATTTATTTTTCTATTTCATGTCCTTGCTACCACTAATGCGTTGTCATTCCTATGAGGTAAGATGCCATGTCTCAGTGCCAAGGATCATGGTCCTATCTTTCTTACTATTATTATAAACGCGAAAGATTGTGAGTATGTCAGTCGAGAAAGTTTGTCAGTAGGATAATAAAACTGCATATTTCAAGCTTATAGATACTTATTACTATTAACTTATTACTATTTATTACTACTTATTACTATTTATTATAGATACTTATAGATACTTATTATTTCAGTTTCTTTCATAGAACATAAGTGGTAAACCTCCGACTATACCCTGGGCTATTTCAGACCTTGGGTTTATCACAGGGTGATATACAGAGTCTGAGGCTGGTTCCACTCTGAACTTGGACAGGACTGCAGTCAGGCCGGTCATAGCTTGTATGAGACCAAGACGACTTCCTGCAAATGTAAAACATGTAGATCTTATATGAGTAGATAGATTCTGTATTCACCAATTACCAACACATAATTGAGGTACAGAAAACAATGATCTATACGTATATATAACTAAAATTGGAGTCTCTGTTTGTAATATTGAAATAACCGTTTTATACTACATGCATATGAATATAAATACGGTACATTCAACAAAATAACATTTTTTACGGCTAATCTCTAAAATGGCTAGACCGATTTTGACAGGACTTTTTTTAGCAGGTAGCTGATGTAATAAGGAGTAACGAAGTTAATTAGGAGAATTATTCTAAAACAAAAGTAGCCTAACTTTTATTTTAGAAACATTCTCCTAATGTACTTTTTGTTAAATTCCACGCGGACGAAGTCGCGGGTACAGCTAGTGTGCAAATAAAAGAAATGGAGGCAGCTTTACGTGCCGCAAAGGTGAATAGGTAACCAACTCAGCATAAATCTACAGATAAATCTGCAGCGCTTATATTCTTTACACTGATAAACAATAGATATAAATACATTCATAATAGATATAGAAAAAACCCAGACGGATGCAAACAAACATACTCATGAACACAAATGTTTACACAGTGCATGAAATCGAACCTGCGAACATCGGAAAGCGGTGTTAAGGTGAAAACATAGATGACGAAGGTTATCAACGAGTAAATGTAGATTATTGTTGTAATTTTAAAGGAAGAAACATTTATTAATACGTTGTTAGTAACGCCAGTGGCACTCAATGAGGAAGTAGCCATTATTATTGCTAAAAGTTGCATATAGATGGCGTGATTGGTATCGATGGAATTCTTCATAGTTTTGCAAACGTTTTAAAAAACAAAACTGTGTTTTCAAAAATGTTTAATCAATTTTTAAAAAGTTATATATACATGTTAAAATGAAATAATGCGTTTAGAAAAGTAATTTTCATATATTTACTCATTTTGTTATTTTCCAGTACTTAATTACACTTTAATCAGTGCTAATATGGGGCTCAATGTTTTCAAAATGCTTTCATAGATGGCATTGTCGTCATTTGTATCGGCCTAATTAAATGTCTTTTTTATATTTTCATATAATAAGCACTTAATATATTATTATTGTAAATTAAACATATAAAAAATTTTTAAGTAAATTAAAAATAGCCGAACAAGCAAGTAATACTATTTCCAATAATACTTATGTATGAAGTGTTGTCATATTAAAAATAAATACATGTATTATCGATTTTTTTGAATAATCGATAACAGGATTTTATTACAGCGCATTATTCGATGATGCTTTTAATGAGTCGTTGTGAACAGTAAATTTTCATTATTTTGTATTATAGCAGTGTTCCGTTTCAAAGAACGGAATATAGTAGTACATTATTAGTGTCGTTGGTTATTTACATTTGTACTGAAAAATCGATTACATAATAATTTAAAATATCGAGTACGAATCGTAGCTGTCTTCGAATACTGGCAACTGGTAAGATTAAAAAATTATTAAAAAAAGAGAGAAATCGACCCTAACTCTAATACCATAAAGTTGATTTTCCTTTCTCATTAATATCATAGCAGTTTGTTTTTAACTTGCGTATGACTCTGTGGTATGATGTTTAACGTGTATTGTTATTGTACGGTGCATACATTTCAAAAATTATATTTTAATGTAGGTACATACATTTCTTTCATACATTTCATACATGTCAAAAATTATCTTTTAATGTAGGTACACACATTTCTTTCATACATTTCATACATGTCAAAAATTATCTTTTAATGTAGGTACATACATTTCATACATTTCAAAAATGAACTTTTTATGTAGGTACATACATTTCTTTCATACATCTCATACATTTAAAAAATTATATTTTAATGTAGGTACATACATTTCATACATGTCAAAAATTATCTTCTAATGTAGGTACATACATACATTTCTTTCATACATTTCATACATTTAAAAAATGAACTTTTTATGTAGGTACATACATTTCTTTCATACATCTCACACATTTCAAAAATTATATTTTAATGTAGGTACTTACATTTCATACATGTCAAAAATTATCTTTTAATGTAGGTACATACATTTCTTTCATACATTTCAAAAAGTATCTTTTAATGTAGGTACATAACACCTCATGTCAGACCCCTTGTATTTGGAAGAAACTTAAAAATAATGCCAAAAATATTAGATGAATATATTTTTAATACGAATATTGTTTTATTTTTGTTCATCAACTTTATCCCTCACTAACAATACTAGTAGTAGTACATAACCTGGTTTATACCGCTAAAGATATTGAAAGATATACGAGTAATTCAGAATGTTATCAAGTTCAAAATAAGCACACATTACTTGCTTAGATAACAGAGTAATATTACTCATATATACAAATGTTTTTATTAATAATGAGTATTATTAATAAAAACATTTGTAACACCCATATGTATACTACGTATGTATAGTAAGTACTTACGCTGCGGCGCCGTGTAGGTAGACGAGTCGTCTACCTCATCTACTCATCTACGCGCGGTAACCGCGCCGACCGACCAATAGGAGCGCGCCTCTCGTGTTTCCAGAAAGTTCGCGACTAACGGACGATATAGTAGTAAGGCAATGAGTGTCCCAGTGACATCATTATAAAATTTTCTCGTTAAATTTTATTGTAATATACACAATTTCGCACTAAATAACGTGTTACCCCGTTACACATTTCTAATAATGAAAAACCTAGACCGACCCTGTTCACTTAATCTTACAAGATCTGACTTTAAAAATTACGATATCCTCATATAGCCTTTCATTTCCCCTTTCAATACTTTTTCGCATTAAAAAGTAGCCTTTCTCAGGGTCTACATTATCTGTCTATCAAATTTCAATTAAATCAGTTCAGTAGTTTTGGCGTGAAAGCGAGACAAACAGACAGACTGAGTTACTTTAGCATTTATAATATTTGTAAGAATATCGCTATTAAAAATAGGGGTTGGTGAAAGACGGGTGAAAATTTAGGCGTGTATGTATTTTCAATGTAACATTATAAATAAATAAAAAATTGTCCATAATACAAAAAAATATTTTTTCGGGGTAGGCCACCCCTATGACTTAGGGGTATAAAAAATAGATAACAACCCTACCTCAGACCTGGCAAGTATACATATCAAATTTCATCAAAATGTGGGAGAAATATGGCAACTAACACTGTGATACAAAATTTATATATAAGATATAGCGGAATTCTCATTAGGTAAAAGAGGGGTACATCGTAGAATACATGAGGTATATACCAGTAAATTAATTGTAGCTAAAATCAGTCTCATACATATAACGATTGAAATAAAAAATCGTATAGCCCGATTTTGATACGTACGAGTATAAACGTATCAAAATCAGGCTATACGTATAGCGCAGACGCGTTACAACATATCAAAAAAATAGGCATGGAATGTAAAATAAACCATAACATAATAGGTATATACATTGGCACATAAGCCATATCTGCAGAGTGTTGGCTAACGATATTATACCTACACATTTACATTGAATCTTGAATCGTCCCTAATGAGGTACACGATACAGTTACCTACATATCTATTATATACATATCTTTGCAAAACAGATGTCATGTAGACTGAATTGACTGCCATCTATTTTCATGCTTTGTTACTAAGCACCCACTAGTAATCCGAACTGCTTCAGATCTAGCGACATCTAGCGGCTACGGTGGCGAAATAAAATAGCCCGAAGAATAGCCCGAGTTAGGAAGGAACCATTTTCTTGTATGGGATGGGGTATCTGTATGTAATATTATGTTATCTGTGGTAACACCATGCCAGACTATGGCACATCTATTGACCTGTCCTTTGTGCCTAACATCTGAATGGTAGTTGCAGGCCCCCTCCCGATTTTACCAATAGCCTTCTCACAATTTCGTATCTGGATTCGCCAGAGATCCACCGAGATACAATACCAAAGATGGAATCTAACCACTGATTGCAAACAATCAAAAATGGCAATTCCAAAAACAAACCATCGACTAACAAAACTCCTACTGAATCTAGATAGACATAACCTTACAATAATGATAGGCCATAACAACGGGCCATTGTCCCTTAAACAAACACTTGTACACAATAGATGCTACAGACAGTCCCCTTTGTCTGGGCTGCTTTGAAGCTGAAGAAATGGTGGTTCAAGTAATCCTGGAGTGCTTGCAGTGGCCACACAATGAAAATAAATCATCGGAACGGTGAGGTCACTCCGTGAAGTCTGTGAAGATATCAGGAGACTGCGCGTTTGGGAAGAGATTGGCTGGCTACTTTAGTAGTCTGGCTCTACACGCACAACGGTCCAAATGAAAGGCTAATTCCGGAGACTGGACTCCAATTTACATTTACATTTTAAGAAGTGCGACAGAATGCGCAAAAGTCGTCGCAACGTTCTGGGGAAAATATATTTAGTAGCCGTTGAAACGAAAGAAGTTGAACGGGAGGAAACGGGTTGTTATAAATATGAACTTTTTACTCAATCGCTAGCAATGTAAGCCAAGTTGATATCCACGTGGTCCCTCTCCCTGGAAACCATCGTGATTTCTGGTGATTTTTTCAAGATATGCTAATAGACCTGACCATAAGGATGATAGGATGACTATAAAGTCATCCTATCATCCTCCACTGGTGCTCTGATAGCGTATACCGTTAGCGTAGACGGGTGTACCAATCCATTATCATCGGATAAAAAAAGGTTGTTGGATATTATTACGATTATACTATTGAATACGAGCTGAGTTTCTTATCAGTTCTTCTCATCTCAAAATCATTCCGAACTGTCGATAGATTTGATATATCACAAGAGTCTGTAATAGACTTTACACGAATAAAGATATTTTCAATTTGAATTTGAAATACAGTAATAGTAATGGCAATAAGTCCCATTGTATAATCAAAGTATGGAAACATGATGTAATGGTTCTTAGGAATGGCAATACTAGAGGTATATCAGCATTATAGATTATTATATCTGGCATATATTGTTATATAAAAAAGAGTAATTTATCTAAAACTGCACTGCTAATGTCGAATAAAATAATAGGTAATATAAAAGTCATAGGTACTATAAATTTTAGAATTATGCTTTCATTATGTTTGCACATCATGAACATGTTTTAGTTACTATGAGAAACTAACTATTTAACTATATTGTTATAGGTGAATATTTCATCTTTGTATAAATTTTATGCGATAGTATAAGCGACTTCTTCAACATAATCAAGCAACAAATATAATTTCTTTCACATACCGACACAATTCCTTGGACCAATACCGAAAGGCAAATATACATCTTTAATGTACTTCTCGTTGTCTGGATGAAACCTCTGTGGCCGAAACTCTTCAGGATTGTCCCAGTATTTAGGATCATTGTGTAAACCCTCAATTGGAATCATAACGTTAATGTCTTTTTCTAAAATCAAACCCAATTCTTCAAAAACATAATTCTTAGAACACTGTCTGGAGACGTAGCCAAGAGGTGGAAATAACCGCATTGCTTCTTTAAACGCCATTTCCAAGTATGTCATTTCTTTTAATGCATCATAACATAGTTTGTTATCGTATTTATTTAAAACTCTGTCAATATCTTCGTGAACTTTTGTTTGTTCTTCTGGATGATAAGCCAAATAATGTAACGTCATACTGGAAGAAGCTGATGATGTTTCAAATCCAGCTGCGAAGAAAACTATTAACTGTGCCATAAAAATATCATCGTCAAACTGTATTGACACTACTTCGGAGGTTCCGTCCGGTTTAGTTTTTTCAATAGACTCAATTTCTATGGCACCTTGCTTTTTTATAGCAAGCATCATATCAACGAAATCATTTCGGCCAATTGGTTCATAATTTCTAGCCTTTTGAATATCAAGTGCTAAAGTTTGTGCTTCTGCTTCAAGTCTAGAAAAGAACTTGAGATCTTTACATAATTCTGGGAACATATCCTTCAAGACTGCGACAATAGCATTAACTGGACCAGGTGTATATATTTTGCGTCCAAGTTTTCGGAAATCAGAATTTTCCTCGTTGAGACTATCCGAATCTAATCCAAAACCACAGGCACCAATGAAATCAGTGGCGTACCTCGCCATCAACTCTCTTGAATCCGTACTTTTCCCAGTGGAAATAACTTCTTCGATCCGCGACTGCAGTTTCAAAGCACGCTCCACAATCAACGGAAACATGCCTTTTAATTTACTGCTGCTGAATGCTGGGCTCATACGTACCCTCAACATCTTCCACAAGTCACCTTCAGCCGAAAACAAATTGCGTAGAATCGGTTCGATTACGTTCCTATTTGGCACAAATCCACGGTAAAAAAAGTAACCAAAGTCAGTAACAAGCACACGTTTCACCAGCTCCGGATCCCTGATTATCAACTCCGGTCTTGTTCCTCTATAGAAACCAACTACCTTTTCGTTGGGATATTTTTTGTACAACTCCGTTGTGAGTTGCACTTTGCTTTTGCGTAGAAGGATTCCATCAATGTTATTTCCGAAGAAGACAATTGGCTTGTCATGTTTGACGCCTCTCTTCTTCCAATATTTGAAGGTTCTAGTATTGTAGTAGTATAAAGCTATAATAGTTACAAATATTACAAACAGCGTTATCATTGTCTTGAGTGTCGTCTTGCCAAAATTTTACTGCGCGCAAAACATACTATCAGTCTAAAATAAATGCAGTATGTTCTACTTATCAGTATACAATGTGTGTGGTTTAGGATTCCGTAAATGCAATAAGTAAATACAAAATGATTTTTATTTATTCATAAAAATATCACCCTGTAAAAATATCACCCTGGCTGTAATGATTTGATTGAAAATTTTCTATGCTTAATTCTATAGGTTTAGTTGGTCTGAAAACTTAATTAGATCTGGCAAGTGGCACATTTCTGTGTTTAAATGTGGTAAGAATATTGCCAAGTAGTATAACTGCTAATTTAAGACTCTATGTTATGCTATACATTGTTTCTTTAAAATCAACAGCACAGAAATTAAACTTGGCTAATATTTATACGTAATGTATAATAATTAATATTAAATAAAATTTTGCACCAAGCATCCCCATCTTTAATATATAAAAATGTACAGGATTACTCACCGGCGCCAACGGTGTACGGTTAGTTAACATTGTGATGAGTTCACCAGAAATTGACCACGATGATTTCCAGAGGCACTACGTGGAGGTCAACCTGAGACTGTACTGTTGCTGTTTCAGAGTGACCACTTGTATTTTATGCATATTTCAGTAGGAGGTTGTTAGTTGGTCCGAAAACTTAGATCTAGTAAATGGCATTACTGAGCAGAACAACGTCTCCCAAGTCTTCTTTAATATACCTCGCTCTTCTATAAACTCGCTTCAGGATGTTTTGAACTCCAAAACTATTTAAATTTAATCAAAAGAAACTTTGTATGAAACTTTGTCAATTTTAACCCGATCGGGCTGAGACTTTGCATGCATAAAGCTACTATGACGTAGGCATCCTCTAAGAAAGGCTTTTGATAAATTTCACCCTTAAGGGGATAAATTAACGCGAGCGAAGCCGCGGGCAAAAGCTAGTATAAAATAAATTCGCTGTCGCTGTCTGTCCGTCCCTATGTATGCTTATATCTTTAAAACTACGCAACGGATTTTGAAGCGGTTTTTTTTAGTAGATAGAGTGATTCCAGAGGAAGGTTTATATGTACGAGTATAACACATGAAGACCCGTGCGAAGCCGGGGCGAGTAGCTAGTATAAGAATAGTAATGATATTAAAAAAAAATAAGATAACAACTGCAAATCATATTTGCGATAAAAAAAGACGTAATTCGAAAAAGCAGTGCCGAAAATAACCAAAAGTGACTAAGAAATAGAAAATAGAAATAATCTTTAAGATAAGATACGTGTTTATTGTTGATAACTGTGTAGACATCTATACATATAAATAAAATTGTTTTATGTCTGTTTGTAATATTGAAATAACAATTTTTTACTACATGCATATGAATATAAACACGTCACATACACCAAAATAACATTTTTTACAATTTTTGTCTGTCTGTTTGTTCCGGCTAATCTCTGAAATGGCTGGACCGATTTTGACGAGACTTTTTTTGGCAGGTAGCTGATGTAATAAGGAGTAACTTAGGCTACTTTTTGAAAATTATTTTGTTTTATTAAAATAATAATAATAATAATAATAATAATAATAATAATAATAATCTCAGGACAATTCACACGGCGCCATCTAGACCCATGTTAAGCTAGCTAAAGCTTGTGTTATGGGTACTAGATAACTGATACAAATACATAGATATTTTTTTTTTGTAAATACATACATATTATACATAGAAAACAGCCAGACCGATACAAACAATCATACTCATGAATACAAATGTTTGTGCCGTGCGAGGAATCGAACCCGCGACCATCGGACGTAAAGCGGTGTGCTAGACCACTAGACCACCGAGGTCGTCAAACTAAATAAACTTAAACTAAAAAATAAACTTAAATTCCACGCAGACGAAGTCGCTGGTTATTAATATAAAATATCACTTTTTGTGATTGTATATATATTCATATATGTGTATGTATATGTAAGTTTATTATATTATTTTGTATTGTATTATGTTATATGTATATTTATAACTTTTCTTCCAATATTGTTTAGAATAGAATAGAATAGAATAATATTTATGACTATCACACATCACAACACAACACAACAATGACGACGCTCACAGCAGCATATAAATTATTATAACATATAAATAGAAATAATAAATACGATACAAAACATTAAGAGAAAAAAAAATAAAAAAAAGGAAACAAGAAAATCAAACAAAAGGAACTAATATATTTGGGCTTCTTATTAGTGTAGATATAAAATAAAAGTTCGACTTACGGTTGATATATATATTGTCCCAACACGTAAACACAGTTACACTTAGATAGGAAGAAAGTATATACAGTAGAAGGAGAAGAAAGTCACAAGCACAGTAAAGAAATAAGCACAGAATGAATATAAGCACTAATGAATAAGGTGATATATGTAAATGAGAATAAGCAGAGCAATATCAATTACAGTACGGCCGATTTATCAAGCGAGTAGCGAGCGTTCCGCGTCATAGATAGTTCTCGACTGGTTTGGTAAGATCGAATTGAATGTGCGCTCGCGCTGTTGGCCGGTTCCTCGGCGCGCTGACTACCTACATAGCGAACAAAAGAGTTGTGACGTCAACCTCTTATTGAGCGTTTCCACTGCACGCTGCAATTGTACCAGACGAACCGGTACGGTTTATTATTGATAAAGTATAAATAAATATTACGTATATATTTATGTATAAGTATATGTATATTGTATATAATTAAGGTTATTATTATTAAATAATTGTATGTAATAAATATTTGTAAATAACTATAAATAAATTTATGAAGCTGTGTATTTATGTGTGGGAATCGCCTACATATATATATAAACACATATACCAAGAACAATGATAAAAATGAAAAAAAAAAAAACAAAATGCGTATCCACCACTGCGGAGCATCATCACCGCGTCATTGTACTGATGTGTGTGTAAGGGGCCCATCTCATCCACCTCTACCAGACGCAAATCTAATCACTTCTCTCCATCCTAAGGTTGCCTGGAAGAGATCGCTTTTTAGCGATAAGGCCGCCCATTGTTACCTCTTTGTCTTGTTTATTGTATTTTTTTTTATCATTTTATACATAATTGTATATGTAATTGTATTTTCTGTGAGAGGAACAATAAAGAGTTTCATTCATTCATTCATTCAAAAGTTTAGTAATTTTTTTTTAAGTGTAAAAAGAAAGAAAAAGAAAGAAAATTGTTTATTTGGTACACTGAAAATAATTTTTAAAATTTAATTTACATTTTATATTAATAATTAGAGTACCAACTAGGTCTCCGCTCAGCATATGTCGTGACGGGGTGCCACCACGCTGGTTTTCAGCGGACATCTTCATATACAATAAACATAATAAAATAATAATAATAATACACATACATACATAAATCCAGGCGGACAATACAAAGCAAACATTTACGACATACTACCATATATAAATAAATATCAAACATAAACTACACACTGAAAACATAAAATAAACATAAATTCTGGTGACACTAGTATTACCGCTTTTGGAGTGCAGACACATCACGTGTGGACAAACCTTCGCAAATACTGCACCCCACCAAAAGGATAACGGGGTGGTATGGTGTGATATGGGATTAGTACCCAGTAAAACTTTTTTGTGGGTAGCTGCATCTCAATACACTCAAGTAAAAAGTGCTCCCAGTTTATATTTATAAATAATTAATATATCTACATATTTTTGAATTTTTATATGCCAAACTTCAAGAGATAGTATATTTCTGCTTGTACCAGTAACATTTACTCCTTTCAAGATCTCACTATGGATGCACTACAAGGTACATTTTTCACTATGATGGAACAACTAAATGCAAAGATGGCCTCCTTTCAAAGCAATTTGCAAAAAGTTAGCACCACACCAAGCACTGTGTCTTCTATAACTGCAGACTTTGGAGTATTCCAAACATTTGTAGCAAACACTTTCTGCAACCTTCAGCAGCAACTAGAATTGCTAGCAAACCAGATGGACCAATTCGAGATGCGAAGTCGCAGAAAGATTTTGTTATTCCATGGTGTCCAGGAATCCGGTGGCAGTAATACTTCCCAAGACATAGTTAAAGTTTTAGCAGACAAATTGAAGATCCCAGGTTTTTCCCAAGCTAACATCAGCAGGTGTCACCGAATGGGCAGAACATCTGGAGACAAACCTCGTCCTATCTTGGTAAAATTTCCTGATCTCGCTTTACGGAATAAAGTATGGTTTGCCAAGACTGGGTTGAAGGACACTGGAATCACAGTCTCCGAGTTTTTGACTAAGGGGAGGCACGAGGCTTTTATATGCGCTCGACGCCACTTTGGAGTTAAGCAGTGTTGGACGCGCGACGGATTTGTGGTTATCGCCGGAAATGGCGACACAAGACATCGAGTCACCACCATAACTGAGGTCAACAAACTTATAGACTCTCTTTCTGCCGCTGCTGCGATTGCATCGAAAGCTTTGAGTTCGGTTTCATCGGAAGCTAGAGGGTCGGCTGCACCGAAGGCCTCTGCCGCGGTAGCAGCCCGCAGCAAGCGAGTCGTTAGAAAATGAACGTGAGTGTGTGTTTGTGATGTTTCTTCGTGTACTGCAATAATTTAAGTAATGTGATTCTTATGAAAACTCATCACGTTTCAAAGTTGTTTCCGTGTAGTGTTAATATAAATAATCATATATTGATACTGTCCGCAACTTCCTCTTGTTCACTTTTATTAAACGTAGGTAGATTATTAATTTAATATTGAACTGCTAACTAATTACTAAATTCAAATAATTGTTTATTTTTAGTGGGTAACTCACTTCACAATTTGAGTTTTATTTTTATAAAATTTTGTTTTGATCTGTCATATTATACTAAGTCTACACTCATGTTGACTTTTCTGACAGTTTGATTTGACAACTAAGTACTGACAGCGTCATTTCATACTAATGTATCTAAGAATGAGATACTGCCTTAGAGAAGGAACTTCAAAACAGTATGTTTATCTCGCTTACACGGATCTATGTAATTTTATACTGCCATCAATCATAGACGAAGAGTCTATGATTAAAATTTGTAATTTATTTCATTATTTTTTCTTTTTCTTTCCGTCTTAAATACTATTTTGCAAAACCATTTTTTTTTTAATATATTGTAAGATTACTACATATTATTGTGTCAATTCTTTTTTTATTGTTCTTAGTTAAACTTATTTGTAAAATGGTATGTAATAAGAAATGTGTTCATATCGTACTTTCAACTGGCGGGTAGAGGTACTGTCTTTATTATTATTTTTTTTTTTTATTATAGTTAGGTATATCTTATTTTATATTATTGGTATATTATTGATCTGTATATATTCGTACAAGTAATATTGTCAATTATGCAAGATGATAGTTTTCACTCCGCTTCTTCTGGCGCTGGTGACACTAGTTTTTATAGTTTGCCTACTCCCATAGACGAAATTCTTCAAGCTGAGTTCGCTACTGTAAGTAAAAATTTTAATGCTGTGCATATAAATGCACAGAGCATTCCAGCTCATTTCCCGGATATGCTGGCGTCGTTTAATGTCAGTACTATACATGCTATTCTCGTATCTGAGTCTTGGCTCAAACCTTGTCTCCCATCTTCCTGTTACACATTACCTGGCTTCACTCTTATCCGCAATGATCGTATTGGTAAGGGTGGTGGTGGTGTTGCTATTTATCTGCGTTCACATATTCCTTTCAATATAATTTCCATTTCAAATAGTAACAATCCCTCCAATGAAGCAGAACACCTTTTCATCGAAGTCAGTCTTTCTCACTCCAAAATACTCCTAGGTGTTGTGTACAGTCCTTTACCTACAATTGATTACTTCACTCCTCTAGAAAATCTCTTAGAGAATATGATCCCATCCTATGAACATACAATAATACTAGGAGACTTTAACACATGTCTTTTAAAAAATGATTATCGCTCAGACTGTCTCCGATCTATGGCTGATGCCTGTAACCTCACTATCTTGCCCCTTCGTGCTACGCATTACTTTCCTAGTTGTAAACCTTCCCTTCTAGATCTTATCCTTGTCTCTTCCCCTGATCTTGTCGATAAACATGGTCAACACACTGCGGATGCCTTTTCTTTTCACGACCTTATTTTCCTATCATTTAGAATACGTCCTCCGAAATGCAGACATAAAATCCTGATGCGACGAAATTTTGGTGCTATCGATTTAAACCGTTTGCGTAAGGATGCCCTGGACATTGATTGGACCTCAGTTCATAATACAGGATCTGTCGAAGATCAGGTGGAGATATTTAACAAAATTATCACTGACCTATATGATCGCCATGCTCCTATTCGACCTATTCGCGTGAAGCATCTACCTGCACCTTGGCTAACTAAAGAAATTAAGGACATCCAGATCATTAAAAACAAGGCGAAATCTAAATTTAAATCCGACCCTGATAAATATCGGGACCAGTACATTAAAGCTAGAAATCACTGCAATAAGGTGTGTAGAGAGGCACAACGACGCCATATTCATAAATCTGTCGAGAATGGTAATCCGGCCAAAGTCTGGAAATTTCTCAAATCTCTAGGGGTTGGTAAAGATCGTAATCCCATCAGTAATTCTTTCAATGTCAACATAGACAACCTTAATAGGCACTTCTCATCTTCCTTTGTTATTAACAACAACATGAAAACAAATACGTTAAATCTCCTTTCAACTACTCCAACTCCTGATTATCCAAGTTTTAAGTTTAATCTAGTTACTAATTGTGATGTTGAGAAGAGCTTGTTATCAATCAACTCTGATGCCATGTGTACTGATGGTGTTGGTCGTACTATGGTCCATCTTATCCTCGATATTATCCTCCCTACAATCTCCACAATTTTTAACAACTCCCTATCCTCTAGTTTTTTCCCTCCCATCTGGAAAGATGCCCATATTATTCCTCTTCCTAAAATTAGTAAGCCGTCTTCTTTTTCCCATTACCGTCCCATCTCTATTCTTCCTTTCCTTTCTAAAGCTCTTGAACGACTTGTCCATGATCAACTTAGTAAATTCCTATCAAGAAATGACCTGTTAAATCCACTCCAATCAGGATTCAGACCTGGTCATAGTACGACCACTGCTTTAGTCAAAATAAGTGATGATATCCGGCACGGAATGGATAATTCGCAATTAACAGTTCTTACATTACTGGACTTCAGTAATGCGTTTAATACTGTTGATATTGACATTCTGTTAGCACGCATGCGTTCAATCAACATATCTCCAATGGTAACTGACTGGTTTCGAACTTACCTGTTTGGGCGTCGGCAACGAGTACGTATTGACAATACCTTTTCATCGTGGTGTCATACTTCTGCCGGCGTTCCTCAGGGTGGCGTCTTATCTCCTCTTCTTTTTCGTTATTCATTAATTCCATCACTATACAACTTCATTCCTCATACCACCTTTATGCAGATGATCTACAGATATATACATAAGCTACGTTAACTGACATTACAACCGCCATACAGACTATTGCTACAGACCTGGATGTAATTACTAATTGGTGCAAATCTTTCGGTTTGGCATTAAACCCGGCAAAAACTCAGATCATCATTATCGGCAGCCCACGCTACATAGCCAAAATAAAAACGAGTACGCTTCCGCGGATAGTGTTAGACGGTGTGTGTATAGAGTATAGCGACAGTGTCAAAAATCTCGGAATTCACTTTGATAAGACCTTGTCATGGTCAGTCCAGATGGCTGAGCTTAGTCGAAAGATTTTCATGGTCGCAGGCTCACTAAGAAGATTGGGTAATTTCTTGCCCGTCGACACCAAAATTTCGCTTGCACACACCTTACTCCTTCCTGTCCTTGATTATGCCGACACCTGCTACCTAGACCTCACCGAAGTCCAATTAAATAAACTTGAGCGCCTTCAAAATATCTGTATAAGGTTTATATTTGGACTACGCAAATATGACCATGTTTCTCAGTATCGCTCAAAGCTCAAGTGGCTCCCTATACGTCTTCGCCGTGACTGGCATATCCTCTCTCTTCTTTACTCCATTCTTTTTAACCCTGTAACTCCCTACTATCTTAAAGAAAAATTTGTTTTTCTCGGTGAGTCCCAAAATCATGGCTTACGCAGTGCAACAAACCTATGCCTTAAAACTCCTTCCCATACTTCTTCTTTCTACACTAACTCATTCTCTGTGCGCGCCGTGCGACTGTGGAACTCACTACCATCCTCCATACGGAGTGCGCAATCACTAACCATTTTCAAGAACGCTGTGAAATCGCACTATCTCTCTCAGTAAATATTCTTTCTGCTGTCCTTTCTTTCTTATTACTAAATTGTCGCCTTCATAATTGCATATATGTTGCTGTGTACCTATACTCGTATATATTTGTATTATATTATTGTATATTTATTTTATAAGTTATGTATTTATATATTATGTAGAATGTATATGTTTATGATATGTATTATTTTATATATTAATATTATTAATGTTTCTACTCCATCATGCGCCATCCACCACCTTCTGTCTTTTCTCCTCTACCCAAAGGTTGTCTGGAAGAGATCTCATAAGCGATAAGACCGCCTTTTGTACCCATAATCTAAATATTGTTTTCGTTTGTATATATGTTTTTTTTTTTTTTTTTTTTTTGTTATTATGGTACAATAAAGAGTAATAAATAAAAAAAATAAATAATAAAAGACCACACAATATACCCAAAAGCCTTTTTTGGAGTTAGGACTTTCGCATGTGCATGTTGTAGGGCGGTCCCCAATTCGCTGCGGTTAGGGCGCCCTATTTCGCCCTACTCCATTGTTTGACGGCCTCGCGGTTTAGTTCAGATTTACTTCGGATGATCGCGGGTTCGATTCCTCGCACGGTACAAACATTTGTATTCATGAGAATGATTGTTTGTATCGGTCTGGGTGTTTTCTATGTATATTATGTAGGTATTTATAAAAAAAATCTATGTATTTATATCAGTTGTCTAGTACCCATAACACAAGCCTTGCTTACCATGGGGTCTAGATGGCGCTGTTTTAATTGTCCAGGGATATCATTTATTATATATTATTATTATATTATTATTATATATAAAATTCTCGTGTCACAGTTTTCGTTCTCCTCCGAAACGGCTTGACCGATTCTCATGAAATTTTGTGAGCATATTGAGTAGGTCTGAGAATTGGCCAACATCTATTTTTCATCCCCCTAAATGTTAGAGGTAGGGGGTTACTAACTGAAACTTTACAATAATATAGCTTATACATCAGAATAATACATACGCTTCAAATTAAAAAAAACCACTGGATCAGCTAGTATGTCGTGGTATACAAAAGCGACCTATTCGTTTTAGAATTTACTCGTCATCATCTGCTTCCTTATCCCATTTATTTGTGGTCGTCGTAATATGTTTTTCTCTTCCAATCATCCCTGTTCGCAGTCATCTCGTTATTTACTCCCTTTCTTACCATCTCATCTTTCACACTGGAGTTTACTATTTACCCTTTTGAAATTTATTAGCAACAAATACCAAGGGTGCAGAATTTTGAGTGGGTATAATTGAAAGTGAAACACAATAATCTGAACATCTATACATATAAATAAAATTGGAGTGTCTGTTTGTAATATTGAAATAACCGTTTTTTACTACATGCATATATATATATATCTATACATATAAATAAAACTGGAGTGTCTGTTTGTTATATTGAAATAACAGTTTTTTACTACATGCATATGAATATAAATACGTTATATACACTGTCTGTTTGTTCCGGGTAATCTCTGAAATGGCTGGACCCATTGTTGCGGGCATTTTTGGCAGGTAGCTGATGTAATAAGGAGTAACTTAGGCTACT